AGGAGATCTGGCTGCGTCGCCCACCTGGCTTCACTGGGTCTTTCCCTCCTGGTATCCAGTGGAGTCTCCGGCGTCCAGTCTACGGTCTCCGCCAGGCGCCACGTGAGTGGCACGACACACTGAGGACTACGCTTGCGGCTCTTGGGTTTGCTCCTTCTACTGCCGACCCGTCGCTGTTTCTACGCACCGACACCTCTCTGCCGCCGTTCTACATCCTCGTGTACGTCGACAACTTGGTCTTTGCCACAGCTGACACTGCTGGACTCGCCTACGTGAAGTCCGAGCTGCAGAAGAGACACACGTGCACAGACCTGGGTGAACTGCGCAGCTACCTTGGCTTGCAGATCACCCGGGACAGAGCACGCCGCACCATTACCCTGACTCAGTCACACATGGTGCAGCAGGTCCTTCAGCGCTTCGGCTTCACGTACTCCTCGCCTCAGGCCACTCCTCTGTCTACTCGCCACTCGCTCTCAGCTCTGCCTTCGGATGAGTCCGTAGAGTCGAGTGGCCCGTACCCAGAGCTTGTTGGCTGCCTCATGTACCTGATGACCTGCACACGACCTGACCTTGCATACCCTCTTAGCATTCTTGCACGCTATGTTGCTCCTGGGAGACACAGACCAAATCACATGGCTGCAGCGAAGAGGGTGTTGCGCTACTTGTGCAGTACGTCGGGCATGGGGCTAGTGCTTGGAGGGCGGAGTCCAGTGGTCCTCACTGGGCACGCGGACGCTTCTTGGGCTGACGACCAGGCTACGCAGCGGTCGTCACAGGGTTACACCTTCAGCCTTGGTTCCGGCTCTGTTTCGTGGCGGGCTACTCGCTCGTCTTCTGTTCTTGGCTCGAGTTGTGAGGCTGAGATCTACGCCGGGGCCATGGCTGCACAGGAGCTTCGCTGGCTCACCTACCTGCTGACCGACCTTGGAGAGCCGCCTCGTTCTCCTCCAGTCCTGTACGTAGACAACAAGGCCATGCTGGCCTTGTGTCGAGAGCAGCGACTGGAGCACAGAACAAAGCACATTGCTCTCCGCTACTTCCTTGCTCGTGAGCTACAGCAACGTGGACAGTTGCGGCTTGCGTACGTGGCCTCTGAGGCCAACACTGCTGATGTCTTCACCAAGGCACTTCCGCCTTGTGATCATCAGCGCTTCTGCACTCAGCTGGGTCTTGTGCCCGTCTTGCCTCACTTGCTCTCCTCTTGACCTTGCTTGTACTCTCACATATTTATATACCTGCTCTTGCTTGTCTAGCTTTATATATATGTGTGTACTCTTGCATGTGAACTGGCCGTGTGGCCTTGACCCTGTGCTCGGACTGTGTGGTGACTTTGTGATCCACCCTGAGCTTGCTTTGCTTTGCTTTGCTTGACTGGTCTTGTGACCCCTTGTTCTCCCCCACTTTGCCTATGGGGGTGTGTCAGAACATTATAGCTTATGCTGTTGTGTAGGCTATAGTGGGGTATCCCATAGGGGGTACAACCAATTAGGGTTTCATATTTGTACTCACTTCATTTTCATAGTTCACTCATTCTCGTTCTCATTCTCACAGCAGGACCAGGGGGGGGTGGGGGTACCGGAGGAGCGGGAGCAGGGGGAAGAGAGGGTGCGAGGAAAAGGGGGGGAAGGGGAACCGGGAGACCTCGACAGGGGTACCGGGTGTAGTAGGACACTGACTCGTCGAACCGGACGTCACGGGAGTCTAGGAACTGGTGGAGTGGCGGGTGGTAAAAAGACCAGTCGGCCGAGGCTACCGGGAAACCAAGGAAGACACAGGGGACGGCGCGAGCCGAGAGCTTGTCCGCAGAGGTGTCGCGGACAAGCGCAAGGCAGCCCCAGACACGAAAAGCTGACCCAACACCAGGGGACCCGGTCCAAAGACTGGTCGGTGAAGCCTCTGGCCGCGAGACGCGCGGCTGGAGGTTCAGCTGGTGAGCGGCGTAGCGAACCGCGTAGGGCCACAGAAAATGGGGCGCACGGGCATGAATCATGGACGTGCGGGCGATGTCCATGACCAAGCCAATGCGGCGCTCAGCAACCCCATTCTGCTGTGGGGACTCTGGCAGCGTCCAGGACTGTACGATGCCCTGCTCGCCGCAGAATCCGGCAAGAATGCCTGAGCGAAACTCACCCCCACGGTCAGAGTGGAGACAGGAGACACGACGGCCACGAGTGCCCTCAGTGGCTAGAAGCCACCGGATCAGCGTAGAAGCCACCTCGGACTTCTTCGCGAGAGGAAACACCGTGGTGTACCTGGAGAAGTCGTCGACGACCACCAGAAAGTAGCGCTCCCTCTCAGGTCCCTGCGTAGGTGCAGGGCCCCAGACATCCAAGTGGAGTGTCTGGAAGGGAGCAGTGGCCGGACGAAGGGAGGAGGAGTGCGGAGTGGCACGAAGACGGCCGGCGACGCAAGGAGTGCACGGCGGCGCAGGCGAGGGAGGGAGCGACGGGAAGACGCGAGGGAGACCTGAGACAAGACGGTGACCAGCCATAGTGCGGAGGCGGGGGATCGACGCGTGGCCAAGACGGTGGTGCCACAAGACGGTCCGGTGGGTGAAAGACCGACACGAGCAAGACGCAGCAACTAGACCGGACACAGCAACCTGACCGGACACAGCAACCTGACCAGACACAACAACCGGTGGGGACGCAGTAACCTGACCGGACTCTGCTACCGGGGGGGACGAAGCAACCTGACCAGACGCAGCTACCTGCGGGGGCGGAGTGTGCAGGACGAAGAGACCTGAGTGGGGCTCTCTGGTGAACGTGGCAAGAACTGCCCCGGTGGAAGAGTCCGTACAGATCGCAGTCCTCCCGCAGGAAAAGTGACTGTGATCCCCCGGTCCTGAAGGTATCCAACGCCCACCAAGTTCCGAGAGAACGAGGGGATGTAGAGACCAGTGAGGAAATCAGAGGGGACAGCTGGGCACGGGAGGGTGGTCGAGCTGCGAGCAACTGCTGGTCCTGAAGTAGGATCAGCCAGGGCAACTGGGACTGGAGCCGAAAGAGGTGTGACAGTGGTGTGGTCGCGGAAGAAGCACTGAGACGCGCCGGAGTCCAGCGTGAAGGAGAGCGACGCAACAGCAGTCGTCACGGCCGGGCTAGTGACTACACAAGCACCTACACTAAAAGCACAAGTACCGACACTAGCAACAGGCAAAGGTCCTAAGCTAGGTACACGTAAGCCAAGAGATCCGTACGTGACAGAATAAACAGCATCCATAGACACATCAAACACAGGGTAACCACTACGAAACAGACCGGGCCAGATCGGGGGAGCCGACTCAGGCCCAAAACGCTCACGGTAAAGGTCGTCGAGGCGGCTGTAGCAGCGCTGTGCAGAGTGGTCAGGACGCCAGCAGGTAGTGCCAGCGCCAGGGCCGGTCAGGATCCGGTACTGGCGAGGGCCGACGTCGCGGCCACCGCGACGAGCCCCCCAGCTGGCTGGGCCGCTGCTGCAGCCAACGCGACCTGAACCACCAGGCCCCCACGGCTGCTGAGGGCGCCACAGCTGCTGAGGGCGCCCCTGCTGCTGCGGAAGCCACTGCTGAAACGGCCGCTGCTGCTGTCCCTGCTGCTGGAGAACCCTAGTGGACTCCATGATAAAAGCTAGCGGGGTGCAGGAGCGGCAGGCTAGGAGCGACAGGTGAAACTAGGCGAGGAACGGCTGGAGTACGGAGCAAACTGAGCTACGAGCGAGGAGCGAGAACGGCTGGAGCGAGAACGGCTGGAGCACAACTGGCTGGAGCTAGAAACGGCGAGCTAGGGCTGGCTGGAGGTAGGAACGGCCGGAGCTAGAGACCGTAGGTGCGGCTGTCGGCTGCCGCTAGTAGAGCCACTGGCAGTGGAACGTACGTGCGACAGTAGGGGCTGCAGTACTGACGGCTGTGGGATGCAGGCAACTGTGCAGGTCGTCCGGCAAGCAGGAACGCGGCCGACAGTTGCAGGCCCCCACCCGAAACCCCTTTCTGGCGCTAAAGCGCTCCGGGGCGCGCTGCCTGCAGGGTGTGCTGCCTGCGGGGCGCGCCGCCTGCGGGGCGCGCTGCCTGCGGGGCTGGGGCGACGGGCCAGGGCGCGGGCTGGGGCGACGGGCTAAAGCGGGCGCCTGGGCGACGGGCTAGGGCGGGCGCCTGGGCGACGGGCTAGGGCGGGCGCCTGGGCGACGGGCTGGGGCGGGCGCCTGGGCGACGGGCTGGGGCGGGCGCCTGGGCGACGGGCTGGTGCGGGCGCCTGGGCGACGGGTTAGGGCGGGCGCCTGGGCGACGGGCTAGGGCGGGCGCCTGGGCGTCGGGCTAGGGCGGGCGCCTGGGCGTCGGGCTAGGGCGGGCGCCTGGGCGACGGGCTAGGGGCGCAGGCTAGGGGCGCTGAGGGCTCTAACGCGCGGAGGAGGAGGGCGCTAAGGCGCGGAGATGGCGCGGAGGGCGCGGAGGGCGCGGAGGCTAAGGCGCGAAGGGCGCGGAGGGCGCGGAGGGCGCGAAGGGCGCGGAGGGCGCGGAGGGCGCGGAGGGCGCAAGGGTGCGGAGGGCGCTAGGGCGCTAGCTAGGCTAGGCTAGGCGAGAGGATCGACACCTACTCATGATACCATCTCAAAGTTAGCGAACAACGGAATGTGTGAACTAGGGAAACAAGGGATACAAATAGCAACCCTAAAAGTGTTGTACTCCCTAGAGTGCTACTCACTGTAGCCTAAGAACCTATAATAACATTTGACAGTATAGTACAAACGAGGTCGCCTATAACGCCCACCCTGCACAAGCTACCCGGGGGGTCTACAATTTCGGCGGGTGTTTTGTCCGGGAGAATACGGTAGTACCGTACTGCTTAAGAAGAAAACCATACACATAATTCTCGGCGATTATTTTTTTAACCAACTCTGAATATTCAGTTTTTTTTCCTAGGTAACGCTGATTGTCAGCGTTTTTTTCTGTACCAAGGCTGATGGATCAGCCTGGTCCAAAACGAATCTAGGGCCCTGGTTCCAAATACTCGAATCGAAGTGCCTTAGCCAGTGTGACATTTTGCTAGTGTGGCACATGGTATACCAAACCACATGGCTCCACGTTCTATACTCTTAGCAACCAGATTACCGCACTCTAAACGGCTGCACGGCCAACACGGACCGTACAACATGCCCCTGGCCATCCACCCAAGTGATGCTGCCAAATTTGAATGACCGCGAAGCCCGCTTCACCACCACAGTTACCTTGAAAGTCTTTCGCTGTCCAGGGGCGATCGTGAAGCTTGACGGCGACACCATTACTCTCACTCCAGCAGGTTTCTTGACCCTCACCGTATACGTCGACGTGGTATCCGCGACATTTGTTACTGTCCGTGTAACTTTTGCCTTCTTGATCACTTTGGGCAGCGAGATGGCTGGTCTGTTCAAATTCCTCGCGGAAACAGCTTTGAGAGAATCTGTGCCAAATTCATCCCTCGCCCAGTTATAATTCTGCCCGGCAAGAAAATTTATAAAGTCCTGCTCCCCGGCATCATAGGTTAACCCAGGGTTAACCACCCTAGCAGGCATCACATGCCCTGCTCCCATATCCCACGGCGTCGCAGCACCCCAGAAATATGTTTGAATCGCCCTGTTATCGGTACCAGTAGTCCGCGCTGTAGTCATCATTGCAGACATTACTTGCGAGGCCGTCCAATCAGGATGCTGCTGGACGACGAGTGCAGCAATGCCAGCGATATGTGCTGTGGCCAGGGACGTCCGTGATTCGCTGCACGTGTGCTCGGACGGGCCGTCACCTGGCTACCTTCACTAGGCAGCCGGGGTCGGACCTGTACACACTGACCACTGAGTCCCCTCAGGTAGCTGCGTCTGCGTCTGCGTCAGGTCAGCTGTCGGCCCCCTGCTCGTGTCGCTCTCTAGCGCACGAGACCGTCCTCTGGCACCACCGCCTTGGTCACCCGTCTATGCAGCGCCTTCGTGGCATGCACAAGCGGTACCTTGTCTCTGGTCTTCCCAGGGTTCTCCCTCCCCTCCCACCCTCGCCTGCTCCTCCTTGTCTTCCCTGTATCGAGGGGCGGCAGCGCGCCGCTCCTCACTCCTCCTCGTTTCCCCCAACGACTGCTCCCCTGCAGACGCTCCACATGGACGTGTGGCGTAGATGTCTTCCCCCGGGGCGATGATGTTGGGTTTGAGGATGGTGTTGGAGGGGTGAGCGGCAGCAGGGGAGGGCAGCATCGGATTGGAGAGTGGCCCAGTGGAAGAGATAAAGGAGACTACAGGGGCAAAGCTACGGCCACTGAGTGTTGCGACTGTATTGGCTGTGTTGAATGTGGTGTTGGAGGGAGCTTCGAAGGACGCTGGTGCTGTTGCTGCTGCGGTTGTGGAAGAGAGGGATGCACCGTTGCGGAGAATGGTGCTGCAGGGTGTAGGAGGATGGGGGAGAGGGGAGGGAGGTGGCACGGGGAACAAATGTCACAAAAGCGAAGGAGGGAGGGAATGCGCAAGGGTGTTCTGAAGGAACGAGAGGGAGGAAGCGAGGGATGAGAAGCTGCAGGGAGTGCGATAGCCTGTGGCTTGCAAAGGGCCTCTCCTCTCGCCTCACCTCGTCTCAACCCATCCCTCACCTCCTTTCTCCCGGCCACATCCGCCCCCAGCCTCACCTGGCGCCCACAGTCGTAAGGAGAGAAGTTGCAGAGCGTGTGATAGCCCGTGGCTGCACAGCAGTTCTAAGCATCGTTACCCCTCCCATCATCCTAACCTCGTCTTTCCCTGGCATCGCCTCCGCCCCCCCTCTCCTCACCTAGTGCCCACAGACATGTAGTGGGGCGAGAAGTTGCAGAGTGTGTGTGCGATGTCCCGGGGCTGCGAATGACTCCTAAGACGTCTCAAAACCCAAGCGTTATTGCATCTCCACCTTCTTCACCTTGTCTCACCCCATCCCTCTCCTCCACTCCCCCTTTTCCTCACCCTCCCTCCCCGCAGCCTCACCTGGCGCCCACAGTCATGTAGTAGGGCGAGAAGTTGCAGAGCGTGCGATAGTTCGTAACTGCGAGGACGGATGGCCTGGCCTCGTTGCCCGCTGCAAACGCCACAAACACCCCCGCCTGATGGGGAAGAGGGGAGGGAAGGAGGGAGAGTGGGGATAAAGAGAGTAGAGAAGTTGGGAACGGAGAGGAGGGGAGAGAGAAGAATCTCAGGCTGAAAACATGGCCCTCCACGGTGGCTGAAAAACATGTACCCCTGGAGTTGCCACTGGATTGATGGGATCCATTCCATACATGAACAAGCACGCATGCACTCATAGCATTGCCACTCACCGCGTTGACACTGATGAATGGCAAGTCATCAAAGTAGGTATCCGTCGAATGGGCTTCGGCCAGCGACAGGCTAAGCACATCCACACCGTCGGCAACGGCCTGATCAATGGCTGCGAAGATGTCGGTGGTGGTGGCGTAGAAGCTCTCATCTTTCGCCTGCCAGAACACCTTGTAGATGGCCAGGCGCGCCCCTGGCGCCATGCCGCTCGCCCTGCCCGACTCAATGTCGGGAACCTCCACGTTGCTGTTGCCCGCTGCGATCCTGGAGGGGGGGGGAGTGAAAGGGAGTGAGGGAGAGACCCATGGTGTACCTGTTGCCCCCGAGTCTAATATATTCCAACCGTATCCCTCATGCCATGTGATGTTTCGATGCTCATCATGCACCGTGTGCCACGCACCACGCACCACGCACCACGCACCATGCACCACGCACCATGCACCACGCACCATGCACCACGCACCATGCACCACGCACCATGCACCACGCACCATGCACCACGCACCATGCACCAGGCCCCACAGAAGCAAACATCTTGCACACCACGTGCCCCCCACACACTCACCCAGCACACATCGTGCCGTGGCCCACAGCATCGCGCGGCGAGAGCCAGTCGCTGGAGAGGTCGATGGTGTTGCCGCTGCTCACAAAGCCCTCGTAGAACCAGTCCCCTCCGATGATCTTCTTGTTGCACGACATGTCGCGCGTGCTGAAACAGTCTCCCACCCACCCCGCCGGGAGTGTGCTGCTGTAGCCCTGGTGGGCTCGAGGAGGGGAGCAGGGGGGAGGAGGGGAGCAGGGGGGTGGAGGGGAGCAGGGGGGTGGAGGGGAGCAGGGGGGTGGGGGGGTGGAGGGGGGTGGAGGGGTGGAGGGGGGTGGAGGGGTGGAGGGGGGTGGAGGGGTGGAGGGGGGTGGAGGGTGCACGGGTGTGGAGGGGTGGAATGGTGGAGGGGTGGAGGGGTGGAGGGGGGGTGGAAGGGTGGAGCGGTGGAGGAAAGGAGGGGTAGTGGTGGGTTAGCGGGATGCTGGGACACGTGCCTGCCTGCCCACCTGGAAGGGAGCGTCCTGCTGTAGCCCTGCTTCCCAGCACGTGGGGAGACGATGGGGTGTGGAGGATGGGGAGACGGCAGAACGGGAAACGGGGGAAGTGGGTGAGGTGAGGGAAGGGCGGGGGTGGGGAAGAGAAGGGGAAGCGCGGACGGTGGCGACAAGGCGTGGCGCAGCGTACCGTGTCGGCGAACGAGGTGCCGTCTGAGTCGACTCAGCAAAAGAAACAGCCGGGGAGGGGCACATACTGGCCCTACTGGGGTCAAGGCGACGCTTAGTTTACCCTGTCGTCAAAGGAACCGTTTTCAGGCCATATGCCGGTATCCACTATGCCGATCACAGTCCCATCGCCTGCGCTGCTGGGCCCGCCCGCGTCGGCCCAGAGCGAGGAGGGCAGGCCGAGGAACTTGTACGAGTCGGTGGTGGCGGGGCGCAGCACGCGCGCCTGCGTCACGGACGCCACAGATGGATGCCGCCTCATGCGCTGCACCTGCGCTGGCGTGAGCTTGGCGGAGAAGCCGTTCGACACGTGCGTGTAGCTGAGGAGGGAAGGACGGGAGGGAGAGCGGGCGGGCGGGAGGGAGGGCGGGAGGGCGGGCGGGCGGGAGGGAGGGCGGGCAAGGGGAGACGAGGGACGATGCGCAGGGAGGGTGCACAGGGGGTAACGAGGGGCGGGAGGTCAAGGAGAAGCCGTTCGATGCATGCATGTAGCTGGCGTGGCGGAGAGGGGAAGAGGGGAGCGGGTGGGTGGGGGAGGGGGAGGAACCGGCAGGGAGATGGTAGTAGTGGTGAGCAAGGGGAGGAGGGAGAAGGGAAGTGGGGACCGAGAATAAGGCGCACGTGGAAGACAGGCTACCACTGCAGCCCTTTCCAGCATCTACAGCCACATGTCCGCATGATGAGAAACCTCAGGTTTTTTATGAGTGGTATGAGTGGTATGAGTGGCATGAGTGGTATGAGTAGCATGAGAGGACATGGTAGGGACTCATCAGTGCCGCGTCCACCGCACTGTCCCGCATGACCGCCTGCTTTAGAAGTCTACCCCACTGCCTTAAAAGCCCGCTGCATGCGCTGAAGCAGCAGAGGCAGCAAGAGCAAGGGCAGCGGCTAAGCAGCATTGGCATTTTCCCTTGCGAATCGTTCGTTAGGAACAACGCCCCCCATCTTCCCCTCACCCGTGCACCATCTTCCCCTCACCCGTGCACCATCTTCCCCTCACCCGTGCACCATCTTCTCCACCACTTCATCCCCTCAGAGAGCATTCCGGGCTGTTACGAACAGCGCGATCGTCTGAACGACTCCCACCGACACCGCACCACCCCTCGCGATCCTCACCTCTAGTCCCCTTTTGGGGACTCGGGGGCCTCCAACATTCTTGGAGTGCGACTGCAAAAGCTGTTCGTAACAGCCCGTTACGAGCCCGGAATGCTCTCTCACTCCCCTCACCTATAGAGCACCTTCATTCCCCTCACTCTCCTCACCTATAGACCATCTTCCCCTCACCTATAGAGCATGTTCCCCTCACCCATAGAGCATGTTCCCCTCACCTATAGAGCATGTTCCCCTCACCTATAGAGCATGTTCCCCTCACCTATAGAGCATCTTCCCCTCACCTATAGAGCATGTTCCCCTCACCTATAGAGCATGTTCCCCTCACCTATAGAGCATGTTCCCCTCACCTATAGAGCATCTTCCCGGCGTCCACGCCGCTGTCTCTCAGCACGGCCTGCTGCATGCGCTGCAGCAGCTGCTTGAACGCCCTCACGCCCGGCGCCCTCACGTTCACCCGCGGCCGCCGCAGCGGACGGCCAAGCCTCCCCCCTAGAGCGTTAGTAGTAGCCGCACCAGCAGCAGCTGTGTCGTCTGCCGTCGCGTCTGTCGCGTTGCCGTTAGGGTCGCTGTCCCAGACGGCCGTTGCCGGGTAGCCGGGTAGTCCGCCGCGGTACGACGCGACGGGCGGCGCGGAGCGTAGGCGGACGATGTAGAGCGCGGAGACATCGGGGGGAGAGGCTGCAGGGGATGGGGGGGAGGGGCGAGAGAAGGCATTGGAGCTGTGAGGCATTCTAGCACGCCAGCGGCTCGTGGCGCGCACCTAGCTTGCAACGAACCTGAATGTGCCCTGTGCCCTGCCTGGAAGGGATACGTGGTGACAGGGTTTCTCAATATACAGCGAATCGCGGCGCTTTACAGTTACGATCCACGCGTGTGGCGGTGCTCGTACCGTCGGACAGTACGGATAGCGAGAGGAGGAGCACGAGGAGAAAGAAACAAATTGGCTTTCCCCGGAGAGCTGGGTCAAGGCGGCAGTGAGAGCGGTGGTGCGAACGGTGCGATAGGAGTAGTTTCACGGGATTGTCGAGTGGGTACGTTAGTCCTGGAATGAGACTGAGCTGTCCGGAGTGTCTTTGCTGCTGAGAGAACATTTTAATCTCGAACGTTGGTCGAGCTCTTGTAGCTAGTAGTAAGGTATGCGGCAGGGGATGGTAGTCCCAAGGGCCTCGGGACTCCACCTACTGAAGTGTCTTGATGCACGCAAGCTTTAAAGCTCTTCGACGTGTACTGCCAGTGAGGTCTCCTACAAATAAAGCACTGCGCGAATCCTCTTTCGCAAGGCCAAGGCTGCAGTGCTCTGGAATGGATAGTGGAAATCGCTGCGGGGAGGAGGCTCGCTGCGGGGAGGAGGCTCGCTGCGGGGGGAGCTGAAACGATAAGGTCGCGGCTGGGCGCAGGCAATTCTGGCGCTCCTTCGCTTTTTCATTGTCATGTATCTAATCGGTCAGACCCCCTTGACTTGCCCAACTGCCACCAGCATGCCGGGACATAGGCAGGTTGTGAACTCGATACACGTCGCAAAAAGCTGGATTTTGCCTTCTGGACCTGCCACGGCTAGACGCCTCTGCTACATCCTTCGTTGAAGCCACATCGACCTGCGCGCTTGCAAGGTTCCGCATTGTTTCTACGGTGTGCTTCCTGTGCGTGTATTTGGGGTTGGGGAAACGAATATGGGTGCTTGGGTTGGGCACTCGTGAGGCAGGAAGGTTATGGCGTGTAGAATATTCTATTCTGACTGTTTGAACGGCTGACTGTCCGAACGTTTGTAAGGTAAACCGAGATTGCCTTCCATTATAGTCAACCAGACGGTCAGACGGTCAAACTGGTAACCTACTAAAGTCGAGACGGTCAGCCGGCCAGCGGTCAGAATTGAAAAACAAAACACGCCCTTAGGGTCATTCTTGGCTCGTGTCTGACATGAGGTCAGACACGAAGTGAAGCTGAGGAAGACCCGAAGTGACCTAGAACTCTGGCAAATCAATGTTTGGAAGACCCGAAGTGGGCCACTTCGGGTCTTCCGAACCTCCATCCAAACCTCCACTTCGTGTCTGACACGAGGTAGGAATGCGCCCTTAGATAGCGTTCCCACAGTTTGGACAAGACGTGAGTCTGCCCACGCGACTCGTAATTCGGCGGGATGGTGTCCATGGTGGGGTACTTCCCCACTTTGGACACCGCAGTGTTTTATGCCCAATATTCGCAAATTCGGCTTCAATCTCGCTTACAATTACAGAGCAAAACGAAATTCGCCAACCGTAGCGAGTGCCAGCATTAATTTTCAGGTGTATTTTCTCAAGTGGTTCAATTTGTTCGAGCGTGGACTTGACTTCGGTTTTTGTACGGGGAGAGAGTTTATTCTCGAGTTTTGAAACGCTTTCGCCCCAAAAGCGATTCGTTCCCCTGCCCTTCGAGTGCACTTCACACCGTGGTTTCCGGATGTTCTCGTCAGACGTTCGATCCAGATTGCGCAAACATGCTTACAATCTGATTCGGTGGTCGCGACGTCCTCTTATTCGGTCGACGAAAGCGTCGCGCACTTGATGCGCTGGCTCAACCAGGAGACTGCGGCTCCTCCGAAGACGAAAACGTAGCCGCCCGTGCTCGTCCGATTCTGCTTGTCACCAGCGTCGTCGGCATCTGCATAGCCGACCAGACACAGCGACTCTGGTCCGCCGCCGAACTCCAGAGCGGCGTCACGAGTTTCAGCGAGGTAGTGCAGACAGCGATCGACCTCACGCCAGTGGTTTGCTCCGCACTGTCACGCCGGATTCGAGCTTGCTGCAAGCGAAGGCAATGTCGGGCCTCGTCGTGGTGGCCGCAAACTGCAGCGAGCCGACCTTCTGCCGGTACTCTGCTTCCTCGCGCGACTGAAACTCCTCGTCGTCGAACATCAGCTCTGCATAGGCGTCGACGGAGACCGGCGTCTTCGGCACTTGCCCGGTCTGGTCTTCGTCGATGAAACGCTGACGCAACTTGTCGACGTAGACTTGCTGGTGAAGCCACAGCTTCCGTGCAGGACGGTCGCGCACGATTTCCAGCCCGAGATACTTCTCGACCGGGCTGATTTCGCGCAGCTCGAAGGCGGCCTCCATCAGCTCCTTTAGCATCGCAGTGCTGCTGCTGGCGGCGAGCAGGTCGTCGACGCAGACGAGCACCCAGCACGCCACTCCGTCGTCGCCGAACTTGAGGTAGAGACCCTCATCGACCTGGCTCTTCTTCCAGCCCGCGCCAGTCAGCACCGCGTCGAGCGCCGAGTACCACGGCAGCGGACTCTGCTTCAGCCCGTACAAGCTCTTCAGCAGCTTGCAGACGCGACCGGTTCCGTCGTTGTAGTAGTCGGGCTGGTACACGTAGAGGATGCAATCCAGCTTGATCTGCAGAAACGCGTTTTTCATGTCCAGCTGCATCAGGTGCAGGTCGAGGACTGCTACGATGCTGAGGAAGATCCGCAAAGTTACGTAGCTTCCCACCGGCGCGTACGTCTCGTCGTAATCTGCACCGTAGACCTGCGTGAAACCTTTCACCACCAGGCGAGCCTTCTCGCGGGCGACAGTGTCGTCAACGTGGTACTTCGTCATGAGCACCCAGCGATTCTTCATGACATTGACACTGCGCGAACGCTCGACCAGCTCCCACGTCCCGTTAGAGATGAGACTCTTGATCTCCTCGTCCATGGCGGCCTTCACCGCCTTGCCTTTCCAGCTCGCCAATGCCTCCTTCACAGTCATGTTGACGATGTCCCAGCGAGTCCTCTTCGTCGTCGAGCAGAGTGCTGTAGGCCGTCAGCGGTAGACAAGCGTGGTAGCTCAGCTTCTCAGGCGGCTTGCTGATGTTGGGGCGGGTAGAACGTCGCGGCTTATCCTTTTCGACCGCGACCTCTACCACGTCGTCGTCTTCGGACTGCTCCCCTTCTCCGCCACCGGCCGCACCGACGACTTCCACAACGTCGTCGCTCGACGAGTCGTCGTCGAACTGCTCCCCTCTCGACAGCTCCTCTACCGTCTGCTCCATCAGGATCGGCTGCTCTGCCAACGGCTCCCCTGAAGCTGGCGCCTCTGCTGATGCATTCTCTGCAGATGGCGCCTCTGCCGACGGCTTCTCTGCAGGTGGCGCCTCTGTCGACGGCTTCTCTGAAGTCGGCTTCGACGCCGACAGCTCCCCTGTCGTCTGCCGCTTTCCGTCGCCGACCTTCTCGGCGTCACGTCGGCCACCGGCGATGCAACCGGTCGGCGCCGCAGGCGACGCACCAAGTCTCCCCTTGTCGCCGGCGGCCGACGAGGGCAAAACAGGGGGAGGGAGGGGGACTTCCTCGACGTCCTCGTCATCATGCTCGTTGACGTCGGCGAGCAGGGGAGGCATCTCCGATGAGGAATCTGGCGGCGGAGTGGACGGCATCCTCGTCGACGCCGGCCCGTACTCTGCCTGCCACAACTCCAGCGACAGGGTCTCGTAGAAGATCGCCTTGACCGTCGTGACGATTTTGTTGTCCGTCAAGTCGAGCACCTCCCAGCCCTTGCTCTCCGGCGACACGCCGTGGTGGAGACCCCAACGAGCCTTCGGCGCCAACTTCCCGCCGCGCTGCTGCTCAGGGACCATGACTGCACCATGCAGCCCCACACGCGCGCCGGCGTTAGATCCGGCTTCTTCTCGAACAGCAGCTCGTGCGGCGTCGTCCCCGTCGGCAGAGAAGCCCGCTCGAGGCAGTTGCGCACCCAGACGGCCTGTCGCAGAGCAAGGTGCCACCAGTGATGCTTCACGCCCATGTGCAGAAGCATCGTACGCACGGCCTCGACCACCGTGCGCATCTCCCGCTTGGCCATCCTGTTCTGCTGCGGAGTGTAGGGGCACGTCAGATTGCGGAGGATTCCCTTGTCCTCGACGAGGTCGGTGAAGGCGCGACCGAGGAACTCCCCTCCGCGGTCCGACACAACTTCTTCACCCTCTTCGACGTTTGCCGCTCCACCTCCTTCAATCATTTTTCGAAGACGACCAGCACGTTGCTTTTCTTCGCGATCGGCCTCACCCACACGTAGCGAGTCTTTCTATCTTTCAGCAGAAGAAAGTAGAGGCTGCCATCGTTGGCGGCCACTCGAAATGGGCCGCAGAGGTCGATGTGCACCACATCAAGCGCATTCTCAGCGTCCGATCCTTGGTCGGGGAAGATGTGCCGTGCAAGTTTGTTGCCGATGCAGGAGGCACACGGCAGATCAGCTGCGGTCGACTTCTTGAAGTCCAGACCGGCGGCGACCTCATGTTTCGCCGAGCTCTTGATCGTGTCGACGCCGACGTGCGCAAGCCGTGTGTGCAACATGTCCGGGGTCAACTTCGTCGCCGACGCGACAGTCCACAGAGCTACTACCTCCGTCGAAGTCGACTTTGTCGAACAGGGGCGCAGGTCGGTGCAGAGAATTCTGCCGGAGTAGCGTGCTCGACCAATGACATCTCCGGCAGAAGACACCAGCAGCATCTCTCCACCGTCGTCCTGCAGCTTAACGCCGTTCTCCTTGAGCTGGCCAGCAGACAACAGGTTCGCGTACACGCCTGGAACATAGAGTACGTCGGGGACGAGGACCTGCTTCCCAGCCTCCCCTTGCAGAGCAACGGTGCCTCTGCCTTCGACGCTCTGAAGTGCCCCGTTGAAGCCGCGGACGTGGCGCACGTCTCCGCTCGGCTACATGTCGACGAAGGCCTCCTTCGTCCCCATCAGATGGTGGGAGCATCCGCTGTCGA